CTCGTCATTCAGACGGAGTACATCCTCATTAAGCCGATCAGACTGAGTTTGCATGCATTACCTATATGAACATTGCGGGACACCGTGTTGAGGAGGAGACGGTGCGCGAATCTAGTGAATGGTCAATCAGGAAGCGACTCCAGCTTCCGCGAAACAATGATCGCCGAAAATAAATTATACATAGGATAGAATTACGCGTAGTATTTGGAGCGGGAAGCGTCCCGTTGCCTTTCCTCGCGGTTTGCACCAAAACAGTTAGATTGTAGCTTCTGTTCCATCGGCGAAACCGAACGACGCAGTGTCGATGCTATTAGTCCTTGGTACGGAAATTGGGTCAGTTCGATCCAAAATCAAGTGACAAATTATTTCTTCTCAACTTTGCACAAGTTTAATGAATCATTACAATATTAAGCTGCGATACTTAAATGAGCTGAGTTTTATTTTTTCGTACTCGTTTCTTCTAAATATAAGACGTTGGGTCAATTTGACCAAAATTTAAAAGAGTTAGGTCACCCTATTAATTCGTCTCGAATTTTATAATTTAGATCAATATTCCTAACAAGCCTTTAAATTTGATTTAAGAATACGTAAGCACCTTCTCGTTCCACAACTTTCTTTTTTTTTTTTTTTTTTGGGGAGATCGTTACGTCGTCGCTGTTAGAATTTCCTTGGATTTTCGTTAGAATATTTTTCGCTTTCAGCACGGATTTATGGAATGGCCTAATATTTAAATAGTTAAGTCTTGTAGCACTATTATGGACCGTTTAATCCAAGAATTCAATTTTGGACCTGCATCCTAACTGAACAGATTTTATGAAGACAAATTCGGTACACTTTTAATAAAGGGAAAAGACGGACATATTTCGTAACTGTAATGAAATAGAATTACCTTTTAATTTAATTATTGTATTTAACGAATTAGCATATTCTTCATAATTTAACAGATTACGCATATTCACTTAAAGTTTGATTCTATCTCTCTTCACAACTCTGTAGATTCTAGATTCATAGCTTGGCTTATTGTTAGCTAAGATATGAGGAATGAATAAGAATACCGTATTAGCAGCAGTGATATCAATGCGTCCTCGAATGGCTAATGAAGATTGTTCTAATGTCGTCAATAAAGCTACGTCTAGAGTATATTATAACATAGCACGTTATATAGCAAACTTGTAAGACTTGTTAAAAGAAGAAAAAGGAAAAATCCCTGTAACATTATGTTCGATAACATTTTTCATGTTGTACAGCAAGTTTATCTTGTCCATCAAGTGTCGGTGAAGATCAAAGAAAGTTGTAAAATATTGTCATAACATGTTGTCAATCGGCCTAAAGCAGTGTGCTGCGGTTGTAAAACATTTCCCATCTGCCGTTTGACGCCTTCGTACAAACTTGGAACAATTTGTTTTATAACACTGTAGACGTAGCTTTAAATATTAATCCTCGTACAGCGGATGGTGTGACAGTCGCACTCAGAGCGCGTGCCGGGTCAAATATGACCCAATACTAAAATCTTCTTTGTACGCAAGCTAAACATCTTTTTATTTTACTGGGCATTGTATTGTTCAAAGTTGTACAAAATAACAAACATATTAATAATATAAGGTGAAGAGAGTCATGACTTTATTTCGAATGCCGATTGAAAGAAGAAACAGCGAAAAGCTGGGTCAGCGGTGACCCGAAGATTAAGTCATCACCAAGAGACACTGAACTAATTTTTAACTTGCTCCTGAGCCCTTTAACTTTACGTTAACCTGTTGAATTTCGATGAGATTTTGAGAATGCGGAACTATTATTTTCTGTTTGCATTATTTCAAACCTTCGAACCACTGAAATCTCATTGATAGATCTAAGGATGAGGGGAAATTTAAACTTGATAAGATGAGATAAATTGAATCTCTTCGATTTGATATGATATTTTCACAATTGTACAAATAACAGAATGAAAATGATGGCCTTACGTTTATCAAACCTCGCTAGACTAACCTAGATTAACCACCAGAAACGATAAATCGTTCCAATAAAATAACTTTCGAAAATTCCTCAATCGTAGTGAGGCGCGATTTCCTACAATCTTGCAACTCGATCAACTTTTACGACGCGTTAAAAGTGTCATCGTTATAATAAAAATCCAAGAGACCCAGTTCCCCTTCAGGAATGACGCTTATTACTCGAGGTTCGCGCTATGTCGTAAAGTGTCGAACACGCGTGCCTGACTCTCGGTTCTTCTGGCGAAAGAGAGAGTTCGTTAACCGTGGATATATGAGTCGAATCTATGTACGTAAAAGCGCACGTACATAAGCGGTCCTCTTTCCACCTGCAATATAATCATCGTCAGATTTATAACAGGATTGGACACAAATACGGCCTCTCGACCCATCAAGCTACCGCTCTACGAGGAAGCCAACCCCTTTGTACGCTCCATCGGTAACTTAATCAATAGAGACAAGAAACGTAGCACGGTTTTTCCTTACCGCATCCCCGTTTGCAAATGAATTTACTACGCGCGATTACTACCGGCAAAAATCACCGAGCAACTGATTCTTCAGTTTATCTGTTAACGTTAATTACGCGTGCACCACTTTGATGGAAATTGTAATTTTACGAGATATCCTTATACCTACACACGGTAAATTATTAATACTGCACTACCGATCGCAAAACGAGGATCACTTTTTGCAGCAATTTATATGTAATCGTACTAGTGGTCATTAAGTTTTTATCATTCATCCAAGAGGGTAAATAGGATCGAGGGAACTTAATGCGCACAAGAGTCATTTCACGTTACAAACACATAGAATTGCAGTTATAGGGGGTTTTTTTTTTTTTCTTAAACTCGCGAGATACTAAATTGTGTAAAATTGTACGATGAATTTTACTTTCAAACGAGCTAATCGAGTCATGGATGCGTAAATTCCGATTAGCGAAACATTTACCTTCTTAAGAATTATGAAACCTAACGACTGGAATATTGATTCTGCTTGGAAACACTGTGTACTATAAGAATATAGGTTACTGTATATATCCAAATTTAACTCTAATAAAAGGTACACATTTAAAAAAGAAAGAAATCTGTAAAATTTTAGCTTTCTATCTCGAACGGTTTTTCGAGTTTAATATTGACATTTTGAAAAATTGACAACGAAGTGTGCCAGCATATTGTCACTTTAATCGGAATATTTCGACTCTGTTTAAAGATACTGTTTTGATCTTGCGCTCATTAAGGCTCGTAAAGGAAAAACGAGAAATAACTTCTCTGTGAAACAAGCTTTCTAACTACTTATGGTAACGAATTTAGCCGGCTTCGGATAAACTGACCAACATTGCCCGGTATTATAGCATCCATAGCACGTGTGTGCTAGTCCAGTTTGATTAAGCTTTAGTTGCGCTCCGCGTCGCATTATATAAGGGCAATGACGCTGTTTCTTTGAATTCGGCGTATTATCATCACTCTCAGCAAAATTCAGCTCTACGGTTCGTGATGTCATTTTGTGTTATTTCCTGCTTTTGTGGAGAAATGTTCATGCAGCGGTTTTTCGTATTTTACAAAGTAATATCTGTACAAAGGTTTTTCCTGTTATACAGAAAAATGTTAGTAAAAAAATTTTCCGGTTTTATGAGAGGAATTCGATATGAATATTTTCCTTTATTTTATAGAACAATGCTAGAACGAGGATTTCACCAATTTTACAACGTCAACCTTTCATAGGCAGTTTGGGTCTTTTATGACCCAAATGAAATTTCACTCTTGTATTCTTCGAAAAGAATTTTTAATTGAAAAAGTTTGAAAGATTTGACTTAACGTACAATTGTGTAATATAGTAGAGGCTTTTATAAGTATCCCAGAATTTTTTCAGATTGTTTGAAAGCCTGGAACAGTAAAAAAATTAGACTTGGTTATAGACGACTCAGTTTGCCTATGGAGTATGAAAAATGTTTGCTTTTAGAGGGTTAATATGAAGCGATGTAAATACAGATTTTATTTCTGAAAAAAAAAAAAACAAGGAAAATAAATTTCTACATGAATTATACATGTGATCAAATTTTGATTTCATAAGGATGTTAGATTAAATGCCTAAAAATGCCCGTTTCTATTTCCCGCGAACACGCAAACGTATCCTGATTAATTCATGCTTAAGATGCATAGTAAATAATTCTGGTCGATTCAGAAAATTATAGCTGTCTGAATGGTTCAAGCCGCATTAGATGGGAACATTTATAAAAATGTACGATTATAAACTGTAATATGTATGATGACTACAATTATCGATCAGAGTTCATTAGCCTTTTCTAATTATCTCTTCTAACAAATACACATACGTTAATCTACACCGTGTACTCCTAATTTGATAACACTCGAATATTATTCCATTCGTCTAATATTCATATGCACTCATTTTCATAATTTCCCTGATGATATATTTACAATATAGGAAGTGAAGTTAACAAAAGACCGAAGGCGTATTATTTCTTCCTCAAATTTCTCACAAAAAATGTACGAACAAACGATTCGTTGATAACCTCTTTGACAATTCAATAATCATATGAAAAAAGAAAACAATATCAGTTACCATCAGTTAATATCAGCCACGTGTCCTAATAACCCTGAAATTATTACCTAATCACGACTTCATTATTTCAACAGGATTTGCAAAGAAAAAAATTACCGCGTCGTTCATAAATTCTAATTATTAAAGAAATTATTCCAGGAAGTTAATCGTAGAGCTGCTGTAAGAAACATCTTTGCGAAAGAAATCAATTTCCAGGAGATAGATCAGATTAAGTTGCAGAATGCGAGATGAGGTGTTACCTATTATTATCGTTTCGACTAATTGCGTGTCTTTTCTGGCGAACACGTAATCATACCCGCGGTATGTATGTATATGTGTTGTATACTTTTTCACCATCGTGCTCGAGCCTCGAGGCAGTCAGTTCTGGAGAGAGGTCGTCAGTAGAGCTTCGACCGCGGTGTTGTGTGGATATTTGGCGTTGACCGTGGCGAGGCTGACGCGCATTATTTATAAATACGCGTCCGATTCATCGGACTTTCTCAGGCGACGAAAGTATGCGACGATTCAGTGATATCAAGTGGTCTTGTCTCTTCTAGTGTGTGAGTTAAGAAACGTTCCGTTCCACGAGGGTCGTTGCTCAACCATGCTATTCTGTCAAGGTAAAAATCCTGCGTTATAACGTCTTGTGACTTCATTGCGCGTGCGTGTTGCTGTACACTGAACATGATGAATGTGAACTTGGATTACTTCATTCGTAGTTTTTCTCACTGTATTTGCACTCGCTTGTTTCTTCTCTTACACCGGACTGTTTAACTCGAAGTTCTTGCGAGTTTATGTACGTTTCTTCGTACATCGAACTGTGCAGTTAGTTTTTGTAATCCTATTATAACATTTGTGTTTTTCCATTGGACTGTTTGAATTGAAGTTCTTGTGATTCTGTATACGATGTATTCGTTTCAAGTTTTTGTGGTCGCGTACGTGGCTATCGGCGTAATAGTGTGACCTAACCTACAATTTTGAGTGAATTAATATTTCAGTGTAAACCACATCGTGTATAGCAAAATTTTAATTCTACAGTGACTTAAATAGCCTTACGAAAATATTTTAGAACCTCGATATTTTCATTAGCCATAACCTCAAAATAAACTGGGGTTAGATCACTGTTTCACCGATAGCCCTCTATGTAAACAACGTTTCTGTTTTTACATTGGATTGTTTTAATTCGAAGTTCGTGGTGAAAGGAATTTTGTTCGAAAGATTTCGATAAAATCTAATTCCTGGAATTACGATATTTCTAGTGTTACATCGCGTTTGTAGTTAATATTGAATTTTTTCTTCGGAATTGTGTTATTCGTAGAAACAGTGAATTGATTAAGACACAAAAGACAACTATTGGTGAAGTGGATGTTAGGCTTGTGCTTGCTTGTGAGTTTAACAAGGATACGAAAGCCTCGGGGACTATTCAAACAATAAGCGAAGTTCACGAAAATGTGTTGAATATTACAATGGATTGACGTTTGAGTATGAAACGAAGAGAGGGAAATTTGATTTCAGCGTTCTTCGGAGAATTAAAACGGAATACCCGTTTAATGTGAAACACTTGAAAGTTGGAATTGTATTAAACTTGGAGCAAACCATTGAAGAAGCAATTATAAAATTTCACGCATTGTAGTTCGTTCTTCAGAAAAGTTTGCAAGAGATTAAGAAGCTGAAGAAAGTAAAGAGATTTGTCCACGCGTCAATTAACATAATAAATTGTCGAAGTTGGAATTGTATTAAACTTGGAGCAAACCATTGAAGAAGCAATTATAAAATTTCACGCATTATAGTTCGTTCTTCAGAAAAGTTTGCAAGAGATTAAGAAGCTGGAGAAAGTAAAGAGATTTGTCCACGCGTAAATTAACGTAATAAATTGTCGTAAAATTAATTTAATTCGAATACGTGTTTTCATCGGAACTGGTGTAAATCAACATAACAAGCTTTTTTCCTTATAAAATTATTAAAATTAGCTACTTAGAGTAGCGTACTGTGTTAATACAAATATAATTTGTCGTTCGAAATATGTTGCACTTAGAAAAAGAAAGAGTTTTTTAAGGTTAATCAACAACGACAAATATACTGGGTGGGCCACCTAATTATCTTCTCTAGCTATGGTGGTACGAAAAAAATTTGTATACGTAATTTAAATTGTTCCAAAGGCTGAATAAGATGGAAGAAAAATTAAAAAAAAATGCCATTTTTCTGTTTTCTTCAAGGTCACCTATGTTTTTGTACAGAAATGTATAATTTTTTTTTTTCTGCTGTATGTTGCAGCAGACGTTGGTGTGCATTTAAACATGTATAATAATATCACCTTAAAATGACCTTGAAATGAAACTTCCTTTCCTTTTTTGCCATTTCTTCCATCTTATTCACTCTTTGAAACCATTTAAATTACATACAAAAATTTTCTCGCACCATCAGAACTAAAGAAGACAATTAGGTGGCCTGTTTCACGTGGTCCACCCTGTACATATAGAAGTACAAAAAAGAATACATCGAACTTCTTCCACGTCAATTTAAATTACCAATAATGTCACTATACACCTGTACAAGCAATCAAATTATTCCTAACCTACAATTCCTTCCAATTATCAAAACTTTTCAAGCACGTAAAATCTTTAAACCTATTCAACATATCGCATTTTTCGAACCGTCGAACCTGATTACTTCTAACAGTATATTATTAAAGTAGACTACCGGTGTTGACACAAAAGTCGCCATTCAGAAGTAGTATTTACAGGGTCAGTAATGCATTGTTCGTCGGCTCCATTGAACGATTCACACGAACGAATAAAGTCGGAACACGAAAACACATAGACTGCACGTGAAGTGCACGCAGCCACGGAACGTTCAAAGTATTTACGTGTAGGGGAGTGAATCAAGGATACGGTTCGACGAGTGGACGTGTCGTTAACGTGCACGTTTCTACGCGTGTGTGCACGGTGATGTATGATCATGAGTATGTAATATCGTATCTACAAGCCTTTCTGATCGGGGCTTAATTGCTACCAATATAAAATCACGGTTACCTCGCGTTTACACGATTAGAAACATCAAAGGACTTTATGGATTGCACTTTCTATCGCGCGGGATATTTAAATCGAAAGTCGGCTTGATCGATCACTTTCGAATGTTCGAGTTGCAAAAGGAAAAAAGAATCACCGGCAGTTCAATACTTCGTAATGTACAGAATTGGTCTACAAATTGTTTTTTATCACTGTTTTATCGTTGCTTTCTATCAGATCTTGCAAAGGAAGATCCTCAAGTGTGATAATCACCGGTATTGATGAAACTTGGATGATACGATAGCACTCGAAACAATATTCAACGTGTATTTTCTTTTTTTTTTTTTTTTACCGACAATCGCTCAAATTTTTTTTCTGGTTTATCTATATTCTGTGGTTTAAGTATATTAAGAAAGTAATCATTTTTAATATATTATTTGAATAAATGGACATTTTTCAAATCTGCTTAAAGTGAGCACATGTGAAAAATACAAAATTTGTCGATTTACACTCCTCCTCTATCTCCAATCATTTTCGAGATATTAGGCCAAATATGTACTACCCGCATCTTTCACATCTTCAACGTGGACAGTTGCTAATATAAAAAAATACGTGTCGAATATCTTTTCGAGAGCTATATATCTATTATACTATTAATATTTACCTTCTAAAATCAGTGAAAAATTAATACTTACATATAACTAAAATTATACACAAGTAATAATCATAAGTAAAATTAGTATTCAACATCGTTGCATCCATGTTGTTCCCAACAGTCGATGAATTTCTCAAAACACCATTAGCATCGATAACGTAAAAGCAACAGCAAACAACCACTAAAAAATTGTCGCGTTTGTCCTCGTAACCATCCATCTTCGGCTAACACACTTTCCTGCAACGTCAACTAGGTAGAAAATATCACGTTGGTTTGTTAATTGTTATGTAAATTTGTCCTTATTCGAAACGCAGCAAATGCTCAAGGATTTACGAGAGTGAACGTAAATGGATCACGAGGTCTTCTCGCGGATCGAAACAATTTTCAACGATTAAATCCCATAACGCGTCTGATGGAATTCATTGTACTGGGTCGCGTTAATTAACAGTATAATTAGTATCTTTGCAGAGCGAAGCTAAACGGGCGTGCAACTATTACGGCGACGGGATTTTAAATAGCCCGGGAGCACCGACCATACCCAACCCTGAGCTTTCCTTTCCCCGTTGAATTATGGTAAACCGCTAGCCATGCTCCTCTGCCGTTCGCGTTCGAAATTAGCTGTATCCTTGGCAGAGGAAACGCAGTCTCGGGACTCGCCTACCTCATCCTTAGCGTGTAATTTCGCCTTTTATATTTTATTTCTGTCCGTTCGCGAACGAACGAAGGCGCGCGCGCCAACGTAATCTGTCCAACGTATACTTGGAGAGTTAGAAACGAGCCTCGAAGAACGAAGACCGCCATTACGCTCGAGGAACGCGTAGAATACGTGCTTACTCAACGCTAATTCATTATCGGCCGAATGCAAATATTGCGAAATATTGCCTGTAATTACTGGGCGCTTCGTCGTATCGATGACGAGATATCGCGGTCTGTTATGTGATTTCGTAGAAAGTACGGTTTAAAAATAGATAAAATCGCTCGTTACAGGTGTGATTATAGGAAAGGTGTAATTTGTGATAGCGATCAATTTTGATAGTGATTTTTCAAAAATTCTGCGAGCATTGATACTTTGGATGGAGTATAAATTGGTGAAGTAAAATGCAGAGGTGAATTAATTTTGTTTGAAAATAATTTCTCACTGTAAGAGCAGGAATTATTGAGAGGCGTACATCAGTATTTCGATGCAAGTTTCTGTAACCGTACAGGTGTGATTATAGGAAAGGTGTAATTGCGATATCGATCAATTCTGATAGTGCTGTTTTTTTAATTGTGGAAGTATTGATAGTTTCAATGGAGTATAACTCGGTGAAGTACGATAGGTGAATTAGTTTTTAATGTAGCTCTTGCTAAAAGCAGAAATTATTGCGAGACATACATAAGTTCAATGCAAGTTTCTTTAACTTTAGATTATCTGTAGACACGTTATCGATAGCTAATCGATAATACTGATAATCTCATAAATTTGCCAATACTTATTTTATAATACAATACAATTCTTCGCCCAACAATTCTTTAAAGTATAATACGCAAACATTTTTGTGTTAGCTCTGAACGAAACGTAAATTGTAAATTCTGTAAAAACTATTTTCAAATCAAATTAAGCAAAGCTACTGTGTTCACTGACAATGAGTTATACTCCATTGAGAGTATCAGTGCTTGCACAATTTTTCAAAAATCACTGTCAAAGATTATCAGTATCATAATGACACCTATTCTGTTCTTAACCATACTGCTGTTATCGTAATTCTATTTTCAAATCCTCTTCGTTTATTACTTGCACTTCCGCACTCGTTACATGTGCTTCTACTTTCAGGGTCTATGTTACTTTTACTTGCGTATCCTTCGGCCATAGCGCATTCGTCATTCCTAGTTGATGGAAGGATAAATATTGTTTTTAATAAAAAGTAGTAATTTTTGATTCTTCTTTATTCGAAAACTATCTATTCCAGAGAAAACA